TGCAACTGCCTGCGACCCTCTTTCTCTGTGGATTCCTCTTTTTAGGCACTTTTGCAATTTTCTGCCTGTTTTGGGCTAGATATTCATATCAGGCTCTATACATATTATAGCTATTTTCCGCTATAACTGTTACTGATTGCCGCTTTGTGGCAGCATTTTTTTGTTGCTCCCATCCGTATCCCATCCCCCATACAAATTCTATCCACTCCCGTTTCGCCGCCCCACGATTTTTGAGCACCAATTGAGATGCAAATTGCTTTTGCCTAGAATGATTTGAAAATAATTCAGTTGGTTAGCATTTTTGCCTTTACATATTTTGCTCCTTTTTATCTGGAATTTCTGCACTCGAATTAATTTGATTCACTGGCGATAATCTTTGGCTTTAAACTCGGGCATTAAATTTTCAATCATGATTTGGGCTCAGACATCCTAGGGGATTTCATGGCTTGTACTAAAGAAGAACTGATAATAATAAACTGCTTGAATTTTAAAAACATCAGCTTACCTTTAAATTTTAGTATTGAAAATATCAGTCTGGGGTCATTTAAATCCAGCTTTTGTCAAAGGGTTACCTTTGTTATTTTCGCACAGCATGAATCAATGAATAACATTAATGGGAAAGTGAATTTTCCATGAATTGGAGTTGAGGTATTTCGAGCGAAAATTAATTTGAAATTGTGTCAAGAAAAAAAAAACAAAACCCAACGACAATTCCGCCCATTGTGCAGTAGTGAAACAATGCACAAATTTTCAAAGAATTTTCTCTGAGGTATTTTGGGATCAGGGTTGCTGCAAATTGTTGTGTGGCCAAAACAGCCGCATTTATTATCCTTTCGGACACTCAACACACATACGTATATAAAACGTTTTAGCGCTTGTCGCTGCCACATGGCGCTTCCATTTCCTTGTTCATTTTCATTTGCAAATATTTATTTGTACATTTCCTCCTGGCACTATTTACCCACTTCCGTTGCAAGCACACACACACACAGACACTGAGGGCTTTCACTTTTCACTTGCCAGAAAACTTGGCAAATTGCTGACCCAGAGACTCGAATGCAGCTCTGCAGATGTGAGTGTGCAAAATGCGACGTTTTAGTTTTCATTTTGGGAAAAATGCCTCCCTGCAATTTGCTAAAACCCAGCCAAAATGCCAAGCCCTTCAGGCGATTTGGAACAAGTAGGCCAAAGCCAAAAAACACAGGGTTGGTTTTTATTAAACTCTTAAGAGCTGACAACTGACATTTGATTAACACTTTATTGATTTCCTCTTAGGGGATGTGACAAAAATCACTTGATTCCGTCGAGAGCTGCCCAATTAAAGGCAACTTATCGAGGCAATTGATTAATTGTCTTATGATTCTTAAGCCGGGCTGTTGAATTAAAGCAGCCCAGCCGGAAAGTCCTGTGAAGAACAGGAGGCTGGGTTGCTCTGTTGCCAGGTTGCCAGTTCGCCAGGGAAATCAGTGCAACGGTGGGTCCTGCGAGTCCTTCGAGTCCTGCGAATCCTGCCTGGAGCTGGAATCCCGCCGCCGACATGCACATCATAAATGGTTAATGGCCACACACACGCACTGCATCTGCAGCTGCATTTGCAACAGCATTCTGCATCCTTGGACATCCTGACATTCGACTGCAGTGCGATGCAAAAATTCGAATTGCTCGCAATCGGAACGGATGTCAGGAATCGCATCGAGATAACTCCGTGTGCATTGCGTGTCTGTTAAATTAATAAATAATTGCTCGTTCAATTTCCCGCTGGCTGTCCTCCATCTGCGCCGGACTCTCCCTGTCTGATTGTCTGACTGTCCAGTCCGGTCTCCTGTTGTATTTTCTTCGGTGTCCGGACGAAACTGAAACAGAAACAGAAACACTGGCCATTGGATTTTTTCCCGCTTTTCCTGGTTTTCCTATGCAACTTTTTCGCGCACACCTGTCCGCAGTTGAGCCAGATTAATTGCCTATTTACCTCTCGCCCCGCATAAAATATCCATCTGCCGCGTGGCTTTTCCTTTGTTTAATGATAAGCCATGGCCGAAAATCTCTGACACTGACATGCTAATTAATAAATTATTTTGCAACAAATTAATTAGATCGTTGCGGCTGGTGAAAGTGATTGGTCATGTTGCGGCAAGTCGAAAAGAGCTGGAACTCGGAATTAATTGAGGTGATGGGGTGAATGCTCCGCTGATTGATGGGTGTCTGAGGTAAAGGGTTATAAGTTTTGAAAGCACTACCAAAAAAAAATGACAAATTGGATATTAAACCAATAAACCTTTATTAGATATTTATTATTCAATATAATATATTTCAAATTTTTTCACACTTTCCTTCCTCTAACTGATAACCTGTGACCCATCCTTGGTCCTACTTTTCTTGGCTTTTGTCCTGGCACGCACAGACCCCTGAGTCGTAGTCTGTCATCATTAAAATAATTTATCTTACCCGAATCTAGTGCGTTGTTTTCTTTTTTTGCTGACCACCCATATCAAATTTAATAATATTTTAATTAAAGGAAAGTAATTATTGGCCAATGCCTTTATCGCATGCTCAAGCTTTTGAGTTAATTAAAATGGCTGCCGTTGTTGTTTGTTTTTTATTTGTTTTGGGTAAAATAGTTGTTAAAGTTTTATGACAGCCGCATAAAATATGAATTACGTCTGCTTTCAATTACAAAAGCAGAGCAGAAAAAACAAAGCAATTTCTGTTTAAATATCGTTTATTACTTTGCGCTCAACCATTAATTAAGGGCAAATGCCGGGCGATTATTGCGTGCCAGGCGGACGATCTGGCGCACCCGTGACCGGGCGACGGACCACCTGCCCCCTGCCCACTGACCCCTGACCCCTGCTGGAGCCCCTGCCACTTCCCCTTCCGCCCGTGAAAAGCATCTGGCATCTTGGCGAAGGGCAAATGAATGCGGAGACAATTAATTGTTGCGCTGTGTGTTCAGTTCGCGCTTTCAACATTTCATCTGCAGTTGTCAGTTACTTTTGTAGTAAGCCTCAGTCCGCTGTCCTCTCGAGCCCCTGAAATCCCCTTCTCAACCCCCTTTCGGAAACCCCTTCTGAAACCCCTTCTCAACCCCTTCCCCATTTCATCATCATCCCACTGCAGCGCGCTTATGATAAATGAGTTGTTTTCACAATGCGGTGGCAAAGTCCGCCGCCTTTGTGTGTGCAGCGAGCATTTAATCCTTTGGGCTTCAAGGCATTTCAAGCGGCCATTCATTTAGTTCCCATTCCCAATGCAGGAGCCACTTAGCGCGATACCCTCGGCAATGGGCATAATGAGCACCCGGTGACCAAAGCCCGCTTTCAGCCTGCATCCTGCACTCAGAAAGTAGGATTATGGCACTTTTAATAGGTTTTTTTCTGATTTTTTATCTAGACTATTTATAAAAAATACAAAAACTACTATTTAATTAGTATTTTAATGGTGGCTGTTAATTAACTTTGACGTAGAGATTATGCTCTACACTTGTTTCAGAAAATAGTTTAAATTAAAGAGATTCTCGGTCTGGTTTGATATTTAACACTTAGATCTTAGCAAATTTTTAGTAGTTTCTTTAAAATCTTATTCAAAAATCCACCACAAATCGTTTAATAAATCAATAATAATGTTCTAACCTACTTTATAATATAGTCAAAATATTCTTAGGACTATGTGTTGAGGGAACCAACTAAATTAAGCAGTCTTTATAATGCTATAATGCCATCTCCATCCAATCAACGACTTACCTTTCCAAGTTAACCCTAACTTTGGCCACATAGTATCTGCTTCACTCAAAGTTAAAACTATATTTCTTCAAGTGTGAGAGGTTAGTCTGCCACTAGCACAAATAGAGTCGGTTTAAAGCGATCCACAACCGAACAGGAAAAGTTTGCTTGGCCAAGTTCGCGCCCAGTGCCCAAGTGGTGGGTGGCTGGATGGCTGGATGGATGGGAATGTTGCAACTGGCAACTGGCAACTTGCAACTTGCATGTGCTGGCACATTCAGGGAAAGTTTACCACTTCGGCTTTGGCCAGTTTGAAGCACACCTGGGTGCTGCATAAAGCACATGACCATATATTTATTTAATACTGCCAAAGGAGCCTTTCAACTTTGCCGTGCACTTGGGCCAATTAATGTGTCAAGGGCCTGCATACGATAATAATAATAATGATCATAATGATGATGATGATGAGTCGGTTGGGAAATGTGATTGGAATCGGAAGCCCATAGCCCCCCCCACTGTGTGCATATTCGATTAACCAAATCCCGGCGGATGCGCGTGCCACAACTTTTGTAATTTATTATTTTGCTTATTTTGTCAACAGAACTTACAAATCCCTGCCCCGAACGAATGGAGCCCTGACAAGCCGCCGCAATGCGACCAAATCACATATAAATTATTGCGTCAAATTGAAGCTGCCGGGGTGACCCGAAAGCCGATTTAAAACTTGACACACTGTGACAGATATACACATGTGTATTTATCGCACGCGGTCCAGGTCGAATCGGAATCCAGCACATAAGCCGGGGGGCATTAAATATTTTATATTTATTTTTAACTCAACGCCAAGGATCTGCCTTATATTGCCCCCTCGAAAATCCGAAAAGTAAGCTTAAAGTGTGTTCTCGGATTCTACGACACGGTACGGTCCCCACAAGAGCTTTTACAATCATCAAACTCCCTGAGCTATGATAATTTCGAAAAAGTTTGTTGGAATGATGTGAATAGAAATCATTCAAAGTTTTTCAAAGTTGGTAACCTCTTTTAGCATGAAATATTTTATTTCGTTGGGTTTTGTTGGTTTTTTTCATTAAAAAAGCAGTACGGAAATCGATTATATATCAATCTGCATATTGCTAAGCAATTTTTAAGTGCTCATGGAGTGATTTACTTTAAACTCTAGTAATCATTTTGCATAATAGTATTACTACATATGCAAATATTTTGTATCATATCTAGCATATTGCAAAATATTTCTAGGAATTTTTGACAACATTTTAAGTGTTTTCTGTATGGCTAGGAAATACTGAGCATTTTTATTGATTTGACCCTGAGTTCTGCTAGCGCCTGGATAATCGTAAATTTTGGGCACATTACACACTACTACCAGGGAGGCAACAACTTGATGGGTGAAAAGGTTCGTCCTTCAGCACGAGTCCAATGCACGACGAGTGCCGCATCGGCCTTTTGCTCTAGGAACTGCAATGGATTCTCCTCCTCAACAGGTTGCTCCCTCGGTTGTTTCTTGATGGCAACGCCACATTTACCTTTGGGATCCAATTTTGACTTGCCTGCATATGGCATGCATATATTATATATACTGTATATGTATACACAACTAATATTTTGAGGAACTTACGCAGACATTGCTGTTGGGCTGGTTCAAATTCATAGTTTTTCAGTACACGACGAGGCATTTTGTTTAACCGAAATCTAGACACATATACTTAACAAATATTTATACACTGGGTGGTGTGCTTAAAGTGACACGTAAGTCATGGCAAATCGTTTTACTGTGATACAAGCATGTGAATAATCCCTCAATTGTTGTGGGGGGATCATGGGGCCTTTGGGGGTTTGGAGGTATATCAACCATACCATCCGCAGTGTTGTCATCGTTCCGCTGATAAATCTAAAGAGATTTGTTGCGCATCCATCAAAGTGAGCATTCTTATTATTCAAAGTACTTACACTTGCGATTGCGACTGAACGTTTCGGGCAAGTGCGTGTCCTGTTTGCTGGCTCCTGCTCCTGATTCTCCTGATTCTGATATGTTAAGGAGCAAGCAACAGTGGCGAAATCCAAGGAGCACAGATAAAAAGTAAGCGCCACAAATAGCACACTCACACACACAAAATCCATTAACTAAAGTGTCAATTTAGTGACAGAGATAAAACGTCACACGCACAAAGACTTGGACTTGGACAAACACACACATACCCACCCATATGTCCTTGCGGGTGGGCGTCGTTGTCCTTCCTGAGGGGGGGAAAACAAAAGTGGGGGACAGGAGAATGTCAGTGGAACTGCCTTGCCTTGGCAAATAGCAGAGCACAATGAATGACAGCACTTTGTATTTTTCCACGTTTTTTTCCCACAGCATTTCCATTTCATTCGCCTTTTGCTCCTTTGGCTGTTGCGTGCTTTCTTCTTTATTTGTTTGCTCATGTCAAAAGATATTGGGATAAAGTTATCGTTATCGGTTTTTTGCCATTGTCTGCATTCGCTTGGCTAGGTCAAATCACCTGTTACGTGTCACATTCCCCTGTCTGCGTTACGCATACGCCACATGGCCCGTAGGTCGCTTAATAAGCGATTGCAAGTTTTGAATGGACGTCGGACAAAAAGTGCCAGGCTAATTGAACAAAACAAGTAAGAAACACAGAATCTGGAACCATTTTTTTGTTTACGCCAAATTAAACATGAATTTCGTGCATAGAAAATAAATGATAACTTAGCTCTTGAAAATCATGAATTACTGTTTATCAAAAGAAGGTAAAGATATCTAAGGCACTTTAGTTTTCTTGGTAAGCACTTAATATTAAAATCGTTTTTATAGTGTTGATAAACTCTTAAAAATATGTAAACCAACTCATTTTGTTAGAATATTTAAACGACCGATAAGACTTAAATTAAAGTAATTGAGATTTAATGCTGGTACTGATGACCAGAATCAAAAAAACACCGATCTTAAAAAATTTAAAAGAAGAGGAAATTCTTAAGCCTAATCTGGAGCTTTAATCTCTTAAATCCCACAAAAATTCAAGCTTTGTGGACTAGTGTAAGCTGCCAAAGACGATACCCTAGTGTTACAAGGAGCCCAAAAAGAGTTGCGAAAACATAAGAAAACCGAAAAGTGAAATACGCTCAAAGACGAACCGCAAGTGAAAATTGTTTTTTGTTTCGGTTGTTTTGTTTTTCTGTTATTTTTCTGGAACTGACGCTTTCCTTTAAGGAATTGTCTTGCAGGCATTTCGTATGCGCCACGCAATACCGCAAAGCGCCACAAAGTGCAAGTCAATAAAAGAGCCAGCGGATTGAGGGACTGCTCCTCCTGGTCCTCCAGCTCATCCTGCCCATCCTGCTCCTCTCAATCTATTGCCTGCCAATCGAAAATGCGGTGCGTGCTCCTAAAAATTTCCAAAAACTAAAATTTCCACGACTAAGCAAACATCGGAACACACATAAGCAGGGGCTCTGAAAATGTTTCGATGATGGCAACGAGTGGCAAGCATTTGCTTTTATGCAAAGTACGGCAAATTGTATAAGCTGCATTGAAATTCAAGAGCATACCCAGACCCACTGATAAATGACAAGCTCGTGCCAATGCAGCTCCATCTTGGGTGTACTCGAACCTTACCATTGCATTCCATTCGCACCAGCAGGCAGCTTGAATTGGAGACAGCAGGAGTGCCATAACGATGCCACCTTGTGTGGCAGCCAAAAGAAAAAAAAATAGGGGAAAAAAAATAGATAAACGGAACCAGAGGCGTGTAAATTGAGAGGAATTGCCCGACACGTTTTAATTATTGGCTGGGGCGGGACAGCCCTTTGGGGGCCGAGCACTTCATTAGGCCTCTGGCGCGGCTCTAAGTAAGACACGCATATTTTTCATACTTTACAAAATCCACAAGCGGAGCGAAGCTCAATTATTCAAAACAGCTGCGCAGCCCGCACCCGAAAAACAAAGAAAAAAGGTTTTACCAAGGGCTACGACTAAGGGATACCTTTTAGAGAACAGAACTTAACTAGTGTTGAGCAAAGTCAGAAGAAAGTAAAAGAACTTAAATTGTTTACTTGATCCATACATTTTTTTCTGTGACACTAAATTTTGATTTATTTTTAGGTATTTATAAAAAAAAAAGTTTTTGTTGTGAGAGTTCTGATCAAATTAATGATGTTTTTATGTAATTTGCATTCTGTTTTCTTAAGATCTGAAAAATAAACATGAAGCTATTATTTTCCATGTGATAAGACAAGCTTATTTATAACAGGGATCTGAAAAAAATAACATATACAAAAAAAAACCTAAGAATGGATAATCTTCCCTTTGAAATCTAAATTTACCCCAATGCAATATACCCCTTACTCGATGATAACCGGGTGTGTAGAGCGGAGATAGGGAGATTGGGTGGCCTAGACACGGGTACTCCCTTACACGACATTGACTAATGTTGATATGTCGTCGTTTTTTGTTGTCGGTTTTTTCCCAGCCTTGGCCTGATGGTTTATTTTTGATGTGTGTGCAGTTGAGCTTTGGCGACGTGCGTCTCCGGCGCCGATGGATGCTCGGATGTTCGGGAGCAGGGATACTGGGACGGGATGGGATGGGATACTGGGGATACCGGGGATACTCAGATTCTCGGATACCGGGGCCCACTCGGGTGGTCGTCCCTTTTGTAGCAATTGCTGTCGTTGCTGCCAATTTGCTGCTGTGCGTTTTGTCCTGTGACAGGAAGCGTAGGCTTCTATTGCGCCTCTCCCTACGAGCATGAGGATGTGGGTGTGTCCTTCGAAAGGCAAGTGGGTGGATGGGATGGGATGGGTGGGCGGTGCGTTCTGACGTGACACATGGTTGTAAAGGATTTTCTTTGATGATGTTATCGTTAATGGTGCATGGTCGCAGCTTAGCTCAACTCGGTTCGGTTCGGCTCGATTTCGCATCAGTTTCAGCTTCATCTACAGCTCGACATTGGCAGATCGTTAGCGCTACCATGGAACTTTCGGCGAAACGTCTACTCCTTGAATAATGATGCTGCTGATGTAAAACACGAAAAACCTTCCCCCTTTATGTGCGGGGAGAATCTTTAAAGGCACTATGCCAACTTAATACATCCCACTGGACTCGGACTCAGATTCTATTCAAAACAGAGCAACAAAGCAATACATTTTAATTAGCCACACGGGCCCAAGGACTTTGACTTCAACTCTGGCTGACCGACCATTGCCAGGCAAATAAGCTTGGCGGCTTGTTGTTATGTCATGTTTTCGGTTGGCGGCTTTGTCACCAGAGTGTCGTAGTTGTTATTGTTAATTACCTGGCGGTGGACCCGAGTGAGGGGGACTTGGATTGGGATAAGACGGGGCCGACTTCGTAGCCAACTGCCCTGGAATGCTAATTAAAATTGAAGGGCCCAACCACCAGGACTGGCAGCATGCTTATTTGCCTTGGCAAGTTATTTGGCTTAGACCGAGCCGGAATCTTAATACTGGAAACAAACTGATTGTGAGCCTGGCAGCCTGCCTGGCCCAACCAGCTGGAACAGAATGCACTCTGCTCGGCCATAATGCAGCACTTAATGTCTTATTTAATTTAACCACACAACATAAATTCATCATGAAATGAGGCAGGAATTCAATTTCCTGCTGGAATGTGTGTACTGTGCCGGGCCGAGTGTCTGCATTAAAATTCTTATTAAATGATATGCACTGGCCGCAGACATTTCCTTCTCCCTGTGTGTTGTAGAACCCCGTAGCCTTATAGCAACCATGTTTGGCCACAATAATGCAAAACACATGGCAACATAAATATATGAGGAGATGAAGTTCCTGCTTCTCCACCAAGCAGCTGGAAGCCACAAAAACCTATGTTGACCGCACATTAATTAACTTGGGGTGTACGAGATATTCGGTCAGAAGCTGGATGCCCCAAAATATATATATATATGTTACGTATACGCAGCGTTTGCGTTTTGGGTTTTCAGGGGGCAGAGTGCGTGTGCATAAATCATTTTTGAATTGGCAGCAGAGGCACCTCAAATTTGCAATGCAATCCATTACGAACTCTCGATAGGTGTAAACTTATTGGGTTGATGGCGTAATTTATATGCCCACCATGGCACGCCCCTTTGCTGTTTTCCCAGCTAATTAGGGGAGGGAAAAAAAAGAAGAAAAGCCGAGGGTTTTGCAAAAACAGGTACAAAATTGTTTCAACTACAGTTTGGCTGTCTAGTCAATTAGCTCAAGCGTTCGGTTAATGTGAAACTTGGCTGGTTAAATGGAAATTGCGAGGCCTGTTCAACAATTCGCAGTCGTGTTTAGCACTGCTGTCGTTGCCGTTGTCGTTGTAGTTGTAGTTGCATGTAGCCTAAACAAGCGGACTGCACAAATAACAATTTCGGTTTAACATTTTACATGCATGCATAAGGAAGGACTCCTGAGGGGGAAGTCCTTCATTATCCTTTCGAGGCGAATATCGTAAGTGCAGCTTTTAAGGGTTGTTGGAAACTCTCTTAAACATTCTCTTAGCTGGTTTAGTACATTCGAAAGCTTTCGCTATTTCTTGTATCCCTCGGGCTGTTTCGTATTTCGTGTCCTGCCTCAAAAACCCGATTGCTAGGACAACGACAGTTCAGTTGCCTTTTGCCACTCAGCGGTTTTGCTCTCGAGCGTTTACCAGGAAATTATGCCAGGACTTAATGCGTAAACTATGTAGTTTATTAGTTCGCCATGGCCCGTGGGCCAAGCGCAGATTTAGCAGCAGTTGGAGACTCGCCCTTGTAG